CCCCAAGAGGCCCCAAGAGGCCCCAAGAGGCCCCAAGAGGCCCCAAGAGGCCCCAAGAAGCCCCCAAGCCGCCTAAGCCCTGACTTACCGAAAAAGAAGACCTCGAAAAGAAGGGTCCAACGCCAAAGGCACTGTCTTGACTCTGCCCTCGTACTCCACCGTGAGCTCGCTTCGTCCCAGGTCCAGTCGCGTCACTTCTCCCAGCATCCACCGCTGCGCCTCGCTGCCGGTCGAAGCACGGTGCGATCGACGGTGTGAGACCAGGATCGACTCAACACAGACGAAGACAAGAAAGACAGAGCGAGAGAGAAGAAGGAAGAAGGAAGATAGAAGATAGGCGATAAAAGATAGAAGAAAGACAATAGCAAATAAAAAATATAGGGAAAAAGAAACAAAGAACACCCGGCATGACCGACAGCTCTGCCAGCTCCGCCTTCGCTGAGAAGACCTCTGCGAAGGAGCCCAAGATGAAGCCATCCAATGTGGGACTTTCAGCCGCCCCGAGGGGCAAAAAGTACTCCTGGGTCTGCTGAAAGCACTGGCTCCACGGATTTTTCTTCGGCTGAAAAGAACGGAGGGGAAACAAACAAAGAAATGGCGGGAGAAAGAGCTGGCTAGAAAAGAAGGGGTCGATCTTGCGGAGAAAGATGGTGCTTTTAGTGTGAGACGGGGGGGAGAAAAGAGGTTCATGTTGACTTTGGGCTTCTTCATTCCCCTCCAACAGAATCGTCGTCTACATTCCGCAACACCCTTGACAACAGAGCCAACATCATTCCGGGCATCTGCCAGATTGGCCGCCTTCAAGTTCACGACTTTGCGCAGCATGTCTCAGGCCATGCAGGTGGTTTGGACTGCTTGAGTCTTGAGGATGGTAAAGCCAAAGCATTCAAGACATGGAGCAAACCTTCTGCAATCCAAGTGGCCATGTTGTGCAATCACTTCGGACTGCGCTCGCTCCACATGGACAACCGAAGCTAGAACCCAAATTCCACTCCTTGGTAGGCACTCTGCCTGATTCAATCAAACCTGAAGAAAGAAACCGGAATTCTCACAGCCCCCCTCTCACCCAAGCAAAAATACACATTACACCGGCATAGACCCAGATACCAACTACCTCTAAAAGCACAGCGGGGAAACACTTCAGTGGGTTTCAAAACTGCAGCTTGAGAGACCTTTGCACGAGTTTTTGCACACAGAACTAAATGGGCGTCAGGCTGTTCTAGGACCCTCGTTGGGGAGACAAGTACGGAGACAAGGCAGCAACGGCAGACAAAACGCTGATGAGACCAAGTGGGGAGACAAGGCAGCAGCGCTGGCGCGGTGGACCAAAAGGCCACCCAGTCATTGAGAAGTTAGAACCCCTATAGCTTTCAGCTCTCTGGGCAAAAAGTCAGTATGGACAGGGTACAACCTTAACAGTGCCAGAAACATGAGACTGTGCTGACCCCAAGTTCTTCACCAGGTTCTGCGACTCCTGACCTCAAAGGACCGACACGGGTGACACGGGTGTCCTGTACGCCAACACCAATGCCAACCAGACGCGATTTGGAAAGTAGTTGAACCCTGTCACCAACGTTGAAACTGCCACTGACCTGGAGCTTGTTGTCCACTAGCCTCAGGGCGGGCGCTGAAGCTGACCAATCCCATTGGTGACCACCGCAACCCTCCTGCAGTTGGCGGTCCCGCCCCACTCCCCGACCCTGCGGGGGGGATCACTGAGGCCGTGGCGTTTCAGAAGCATCACTAAATGGCTCTGGCACCATGGAGTCAATGGACTCCTGCTTGGTACTGGCGAGGCTAGACTCGACCATCGACTTGGAGGCCACAGCAGCATACTTGGCCGCCAAGTCCTTGGCACACGACGTCCTTTAACCAGTGAAAAACATGGTTTGAGCTACTCTGCTTGAGTAGCAGGGCAGAGTGGAAGGCCGAGCCTCCGTCTGTTTCGTGCCACCAGAAAGATGCCTCCAATGTCTATTGTTCAGTGCAGCTCTAGACATCTGTCTCTATGAACCAAACTCTTCGGCCATAGCATCTGAGTTCTCTGTGACGATAGACTTCTGCACAGGAGAGTCCAGCAAAGATCCAGGATCACTTCCGGGTAGGAAAACTTGCAGCTGTACCTGGAGGTGGTGGAAATTTGCAGAATAGAAAAGGGAACATGTTCCCAATCGAACGTATACATATAATGTGTGGTGTAATTATGCACAAATGTGTATTAAATATGTACACAAGTATATAGATTCAAAATAGTTACAAAGCGTCTGTCCATCTAATGCAATCTCCTTGGAAAAATAATGACACTAGTCACCAAAAAGAATGCCGCCTCTCCGCGCTCCTCAAAGTCTCGCATGATTCGCCTTGTGTAGACTCTGGTGATGAATAAACCCTGTCTCCAGAATGGTTTACATCTGGAGGCCTAGGGAGGTTATTCATCAACAGTCTACATTAGCTGGGTTTGGGGCAGAAGAAGAACACTTTCTGGCTGTTTCAAGACGGAGATGAGATACCGTAGCCTTTACAAACAGGATCAAACAGGTGTTGCAAAAGCTGATTCCAAATCCACCGAAAAAAGGACTGGATTCCAAAACCGCTTCTGCAGCTGCAGCTCACTCCTCAGCTCAGTGGCCAGCTATTCATGGATTCCGCACTGGGATCTGCGATGGGAACTGTGGCTTCGCCAACAGTCAGGTCCGCTCCGTCGGCCACCGCCAGAAGCTCTATCTTGATAAACTGCTCCTGAGTCCACCGCCAGGCGAAACAGGCGGAGCGGAAGAACAAACCAACCACCTGGCGGGAGAATTTGGTGGACCCGAAAGGATCAATTTGGACCCGAAAGAATGCAAAGGAAGGAGCCGTATTCCCAGAATTTGGCGTTTTCTTGGAGGGTCCTCCTCTGACCTTTGAGAGAAAAACAAAATCTTTGGGGGGCAAAAGAAGATCCGAAGCACCGGTGACCGGTACCTACTGCGGTTGGGCGAGCAACGGCCGGTCAACGAGCTGGAACGGTGCAAGAGAGAACGATGACAGCGGTCAGACCGACTCCATCACATCGAAGACTTTCCGGTCCAAGTTGCCCGGGAGTTGTAAGGAAGATTAAATCGAGCCTGGCAGTGTGACCAAACGCGACACATCGTTCCCTATCCTTGGAAAGTGGCTGGTCATGTCTCGATGTGCATAACGTCATAGGGACGAGACGTGACGTTACCTCTCCTCTTCCCAGTGGTCGACCCGGACGCGCCCTGCCTCGATGGAACAGTCATGAAGCTTCTTTCCATATTCGCTGACGACTGCCTGACCGGAAACCAGCAGAGGTGGGTCAGAACCCTAGTTCGACTATCCTAGTTCGGTACCCCTGGTTTTCCGGGTCCTAGTTCAGGTCACTGTCCGCCTCTGACCGGACTCAGGCCCGGGAACGGGCTTGGGGCGGTTCCGCCCTCTCGCCTCATAAGTCTCGCTCTTCCTGCGCTCCCTCGGCTCAAAGCCTTCGCTTTGGTAGAAGGCGGTGGCACGATATGCTCCTGGAGACCACGAAGCGAAGACGAGCACGTCCTGTTCGAAGCGCAGGACGGCGTTTTGGGCGTTTCGGGCTCTTGAAGCTCTTGGCTCCCAAAATCTGGAACGGAAAAGAGTTGGACCTGGATCTTCCCGACCCTTTGAGATCTCAGAATGAGGTCACTTAAGTCTGTAAAAGGTCACTTACCAATCCTGAAAAGGTCACTGGGAAGGTCCTGGAAGGTCCAGGGTCTTCCTGATGCTTTCCCTTCGGGTCCAGACTGATCCGTCCGACTCACAGCGACCGCCTCCCCGTGACTGAGGCACGGGCGGACGGCTTCGTTGGGTGGCTCCAAAGCCATTGCTCCCTTCACCAAAATATGCATCTCTTCATCCTGGTAGAGCCAAGGAAAGGAGGTAATATACAAGCTCTCTCGCAAGACATATCAAGAATCATCAAGACATGAGAGACGTTGACACGTTTCTACAAGCCAAAAAAGCCGTGCTTCCAGCCAGAAGGTGCTTGGGAGGTCTCCCTGCTTTGATCATCTTTGATCCATACCCTACGTATTCAGCCAGTGGCCCTACATGTATCCCACCACGCGTTTACTGAAGCTATACCTCCCACGTCCGTCGTCCGAAGCCCAAACCTGAAGGCTTCGGAAGGCTTCGTCGTCCGTCGTCCGAGCTTCTCGTCGGTCGGAGGGCGAAGCCGGCGGAGGCCCGACCTGGCTTCCAATCTTCGTCGTCGCATCAGAGCTACCTCTGGAATGCTTCTGCATGGTAGGTTTGGGCCTCGTGAAGCGACTAAAAGGCGTCGACACAGCGCATATTCGCAGGTTTTCTTTCATTGACAAGAACCACATAGACATAGTCTGTTCAGCTTTGGGGCTGAAGTCTGTCTGAGATCTCCTGAATCTCAAGATGCTAAGGTCAGGGCTGCTTGTTCCACAGCCCTCTTTGCTCTGCTTCATCAATCATGGACTCATGCTGCTCTACTGTTGGATGCCACTTGATGGGTGGGGGTGGATAGAAGTCCACCCCACACGTGTCCTTAGATTGTTCGACATCAAACATCAGCCCTGTCCCAGTGGTGCTTTCGGGACCCGGAGGGATCCCCTCTCAACTCAGTCTCCTCCAAATCCACAGGAATCTGGCAGATTTGCAAGCGCAAGCATTCACAGTCCAAGAAACTTTTGCTTGCATTCCCTTTGGATGCGTCGCTTCCCTCTCTGCAGATGCCACACGCACACGCGCGCAAAACATCGCCGCGGAATGGATTGGGCTGCTCTGCAGTGTCAGTGTCAATGAACTGATGAGAGGCTATCACTGAGCAACAACCACATTCATATACATGCGAAAGAGAAACACTAGAAAAGATATGTGTGTTACTAGTTACTGCTTGGACCTGAGAAGAAGATCTTGCGACGTCTTGTGCATCCCGTCTCCCCCACAGTTGCACCATGTTGCACCTAACTAAGAGCCAAGACAAGCCTCTCAAACCGGGCTTCAACCCAAATCACTGGAAAACCTCGCGTTTCAACTCCCCCCTACAAGTCCAGTGGGGCCAAGTTAAACCTGGTCCTTGACCTCATTGAGTACGGGTTTTGCATGACCGGATCCAGTCAGGTCTGAGGTCCGTTTGTCTGTCTGGGCCCCACACCCAGCTCTCGAAAGAGCTCAGCCTTCCGGATCGGTTCGCACACGGCAGCATCCATGTCCATTTGCACCTCCTGGATTTGCTGTGGAAGCCGGGAGGAGGACACCGATTTTCCTCCAGGTTCCGGGGATTCATGCATCCCAGTTCGGGAAAACGAAAAAATAGCCCACATCCGCCAAGCCAGGTCCTGTAGTGCACCAACGTCTTCCCACTTCACATCCGGAATCGTTGTGAATCCTTCACGCCGGGCAGAAGGCTGGACCTTCGACAAGGCTTCGGTGAAGTCCTGCGCCTCAATGGCCAAGGTCGACATCTCCTCCGCGGTGTAGGCCTTGTCGCTGCCCTCGCTGTCTCGGGCCAGTGCTGCTAGACCCTTGAACGCCCGTTCGACCGCTCCCAGTGCTGCTTCCTTGGTGAGCGCGGACAAATCGGCACCGACGAAGCCAGCGGTCTTCTTCGCTAAGAACTTCAGATCCAGGCTTTCAGCCAGTCGCATTCCTTGAACCATCTTTTCCAAGATCTTGGCTCGCGCCGCTTCGTCCGGGATGCCCATGGCAATTTCGCGGTCAAAGCGGCCGGCCCTTCGTAGGGCGGGATCCAGGGCATCTGGACGATTGGTGGCAGCCAGCACAATGACCTGCAGAGCAGTCAGGTTGAATCTGGATGAATAAACTCCCCCCCCCCCTTTTTTGGAATATAAAACCTCTCTCTTTTCGGTGGTATTGATCTAAGATTCTAGATAAAAGGGGTGGGCAGTCGAAGGTGAAAGCAAAGATTGGGTGTTCAAAGAACCATATATGACATGCAATGGATCCGGCCACGATGTGAAGCCGAAAACGTTCACTTTGTGAAAAACCATGAAAAAGACGCTGCGGCACAAAGGACGTTGCTCTTCTGGATTTCATCCAAAGATGTCAGCAGCTGCGCCACGATGCGCCGCTCCATTTCGCGGCCCGCCGAGTCGCGCTTGGGCGTAATCGCATCCACCTCGTCCATAAAGATGAGGCTCGGCGCTGCGCTGGTGGCTGCTTGGAACAGCTGCCGGATCTTGGCTTCCGATTCGCCCGACATGCCCGAGACGATTTCGGTGGCAGCAATCTTGAAGAAGGGCACACCGGTGGTGCCCGCGATGGCATGCGCGATCTTGGTCTTTCCGCAGCCCGGGGGGGCCAAACAGCAAAACACCGGTGGGAGGCTGGACGCCCAAGTGTGAAAACACCTCGGGATGGCTCAAAGGCTGAACAACTAGTTGACGTAGATCCTGCAGGATATCATCCACTCCTCCCAAGTCTTCGAGCCTTTCCTCTGGACGGTCTTCCGGTTGAAAGCTGCTTTGTGCCTTGGGATCTGACCAACCTTGCTCGCGCCGAGCTGCGGCCATAGAGGCTTTCTCCCGCGCTTTGCGCACGGACTGTGGGTCCTGCCCCAATCGTTCAGCTTTGGCTCCTAGACTTGCATCATTCGCTGTACTCTGCGAATACAATCGTCGAATGGAATCGTTCATGTTTTCCTTTTCAGCTGGGGAAGCCAATTCGGGCTTCTTTTCACCCTTGCGCCGCTTCTTCTTCGGCTCAATCTCCGGCCCAGTGGATTCCGGCGCCTCGGGGAGGGGCGTGCTGAGCTCCTGCAGCACCATGCGCCGCAACGCTGGTTGCTTCAAGCGGCTGTACTCCGTGAAGGTTCGGCAAAGCTCATCTTTCACGCCTTACTAAGAGCCAAGGCTTGGAGAGGCCAAAGCTTTCACTTTCGGGGGAACCCAAAGGAACAAAAGAAGGCAAAAGAAAGATCCTTCTTACTCAAATTGCCTTCAAAGGCTCTGTCTGCTGTGCAAGTTTTTCCTGCACTTTGAAATTGAAGCCGAATCTCGCGGATTCTGTGTGGCAATCGCTTGTCCATGGCTATTCATTCCATTGCTCTTCACCCTACAACCATGGAATGTTCCTGCAGAAAGAAGATGTTTCGGTAGGGTTTTCCTTGTGCAACTGTTTTACATCACATCCGCTCACGATATGGGGTTGGTCTTTCTACGCTGAAGCCTATGGCTACAATCAAATACAGGAAACAGCTCAGTCTGCAAACCCAAATGCGGCACACGGAACCACACCCTGTGAAAGTTGCAGGCTCTTTTTCGCAGGGCAATCTGGTCTCAACGCCTCCTTTTGTGCGCCCTCTCCTCAGTCTCAGCTTCCTGGCAGTCTCTCAGCTTCCTGTATCTGCTAAAGCCCATCACAGAATCCGATTCTTCTAGATGGAATTACTGTCCATGGAAGAAGTATCACCTGCAGTTGGGAACCACCAGGCCCACAACCACGTCATGAATTTCTCATCTTTCGTGCCTTCGGTCTGATTCCATCCACAATAGCGCTCAAAGTTCTTTCACCCCACTTGGGGGCAGAATTTTAGGGCAGAATAGGGACGGGGTCTCCCCCCTAGGCCGGGAGCCTTGGTCAGTACGGAAAACAGACATGAATCAGTACCTCCAGAAGTCCGCTGGAAAACCGCTTACACTGCGCCTCCTCGCTCTCGCTGACGGAAAACCACTCGCCCTTCCGAATGGCGCGCTTGGCCTGGCGAAGGGCAATCAGGGTTTCGTTTGGCCAATCGACCTAGGCCGGGAGCACTATCAAAAGAAAGGCGTCTTAAATAAGGGACCTGAAATAGGGATGAAGAGTAGAACTCCTGCAATTCGTTTTTGTAAGCAAAAACGGAATCCAACTAGACCTCTGGTCTGGGTTGTAGTTACTTCATTTTCTCGCACAGCTGCTCTAAAAATTGACAAAAAATCACGAGTTGTTAGATCGTTTGCCCTTCCAGTTCAAGCCTTATGTTATTGTATGAACATGATTTATTGGCTCTACCTCAGATTTCTTGCCCGAAAGCGCATGCCAGTCGCGGCAGCAACTACTAGACGACCGTCTTGGCCTTGGGCGACACAACATTTCTTGACATTTGAGATTTACACAAGACATGCTGTTGATTCTTAATTCCAAACACTTTCGTCTACAAAATCGGAAAGTCTTTAGGTATATATATATATATATGTGTGTGTGTGTGTGTCAGCGTCAGTGTATACATGATCCACTACCACTACCACTACGACTACGACTACGACTACGACGACGACTACTACTACTACTACTACTACTACTACTACTACGACTACCAAAACAAATTTTCGGACAAACTGTTTCACATGTAACATCAACGTCATTATCCCCCCCACCCCCCAAATACCCTCTGACAAACTGTCTCACATGTAACATCAATTTCATCATCCCACCCCAAACTATCAAAATTACCATTACCTTCCGACAACACGTTTCTGCGCACAGTCCGCGACGCCCCGATGGGGCGGCTGCTACTGCCATTGCTCACTAAGTCTGCGACTTTCCCGAAGCTCACAATTGGCTTCGGAGCTCCTGGAAGGCATCTCCCCTCCCAGGCCAACTGGTGAAAGCCAGCAAATCCATTTACCACTGGCCACTAGTTGGTAACCAATGACTCCACAGACAATAATCATGACCGAGAAGCTTTGGTTGCAAAAATATCGTGACTTTGCCCACTGGGTTTCAGATGGTCAACAGATTGGGGTGGGTGTGCCATCCGTCCAGCTGGATTGTGATTCAGCAAAGCTTGGATCAGTCAGGACCAGAAAGTTGGGAACATACACTTAGGTGACCCGCAAAGGAATTTCCTTTACTTCAGTCGGTCAATATGTAGTTTTTGGACTTCTAGGGTCAGTAGTTTCGCAAATTGATTGCGACCTTGGAGCATGAAAAGGAAGTGGTGAGACCAACACTGGGACGGTGTCGATCGACCCATTCCAGCGTGGGCATCGACCCAGTGTTGCGGGCTCAAGAGCAAAGGTTGTGGAACAAAGGAGAATCGATGAACCTCGCCCATATACAGTTGCTGCAGTTGCCCACACCACATGACCTCGGAGCTGGTGTTGCCCCTCCTCCCCGTCTCTGCCGGTCCGCACCGGCAGAACCCCCCCCCGTATCGAACGTTCGGTCCGAGGTCCCGGCGCCGTTCGCAGAAGCCGGTCGGTCGGTGGGGTGGTGGGTGTCGGTCTCGCCCCCCGCCCCGCGGTCGCTTCGGTGAAACAGAAGAGGAATAAAGGATCGATCTGATGTGGTCGGTGTGGCGGACCGTGTCGGTGCGTGTCTGGTGTTCGAACTGGGCGATTCCTCGGCAGTTGCAAGTCCGGAGCATCATCTTCGGTAAAGATCACCGCCTGAGAGATTCAAGGGAGGTTGCTTGGTCGCACCTCTGTGTGTCGTTAGCTTGGCATCTGGCGCCCTTTCGAATGGCTTGTACAGCATAGTGACCTGAAAAATAGGCAAAATGTCAACCTGGACAAAAACTGGTTGATTGCTCTGAAGGGCCTTCGACATTGGTCATATCGCACGCACCAGGGCGAGTGCCATCCAGGTACCTGCTATCCACATGTTGGAAGTCCAGTTCGACTAAAAAATGGGCGCCGCCGAAGGTTTCAGGAAATTCTGAGGAAGCCGAATTTCAAACCATTTGTTTCACAGTCTGGTACTCCCAGAGTGCCGACTCAACGGCTTAGCCCGGAAGCACCGTCGGCACCGTGTTCACCGTCGGCACCGTCGGCACCGTCGCTCGGGGCACATGTCGCGAGCCACCTCAATCGCCAGCTGTTCTGGAGAGATCCCAGGAGGCTCAACGATCCCCGTGAAGCTTGGGACACCGAAATTTCTAGGTTGAGTCAACGGTCTAGATTAGGTGTTTGCTGTGGATTGATCCCCTACCTGGAAGAGGGAACCTCTTTATGGGCGTTTTATTCATCAAGATTCTACAATGAGACGATGTTTTTTTCCAAACATCTTTAGGCGCCCGGACACTCATCGAGAGCTGGCACTTCGAGGGGATGTGCGTTTGGTGCCACCAGAGCTTAGTGTTGATGCCTGAGACCAAGCGAAGCAGCGAGAAAGAAAAGACACTCCCTACCAGTACCCTCCAACAGGTCACCACCTGCGACTTTTAGGTCAGCAAAAGCCTCCAGAACAAGACCTGTTGGAGGGTGCTGGCAGATGAAAATTGAACATAGGCCCCGTAAGGTAAGGAAGGCCATGAAATCCAAAATACCCTAAGGCAGGTTGCTGTCACTCCACGAAACCATGCGACCCCACGGCTCGCACTGTCAGTCTGCTGTCCCAACTAGCTGTAGCTGAGCTACAGAGCACGTCACCTTCTTTGCAGCGGATTTTCACTGGGCCAGCTCCTTTCAAGGCACGAGCCTCCGCGAGGCTGGAGAGGAAGGGCCAAACGAGCCGAGCAAGACGTCTTCACATCTGCTCCAAGGCCCCAAAAACCAATCAGCTGCGTCCGCTCGCCTGCCGCTGCAGCTCTGTGGTTGGACGCACAGTCCACACCTGGCAACAGTTCTTGCATGTTCTTCCCATCTGACTGGTAGGGATTCTCTGACAGTTCCACGGGGGAGGCTATAGTGAACTTGACTGGAAGGCTTTGATTCATCACTTGAAGGACCTGACCTGTGTGACCCAGAAATCATTCAGAAACCTTCAGAAGGAGATGAAAAACCATGACGCACCGCGCACCACCACCTGCGCCCACTTTTGAGCACATCAAAGCGAGCGAAAGGGGAGCTTGCACTGGGCCTCGGGGTGAGCTCAAGACTTGAACTCGGTATGTAAATGGGCTGTGGCCGTGGCCTCATCCAAGCCAAACGCCTTCTTCTCCCAACTTCGAACGGCGGATTGAATCTTGCTGGGCATGTGCAGCAAGTCTTGCTCATCATGCACAATTTGACCCATCCCCAGCTTGAGCCTTTGCAGTTTCTTCGGCACCTGAGATCTAACACGTTCGATGACCAAATCCCAAATGTTCAGCACCATGGTCTTTTCTTCCAGGGTAGCTTTGCCATCCCCATTCACATCAAGAATATCTCGAAGATCGAGGTCTGCTTGCGTCGTCTGCCAATCACTCATCTTGGCACGTCGCATCAAGCGCTCCATCTGCCGCCACGTCTCAAAGAGATCTGGTGTGAAGCGTAGACGGACCAGGAATTTGCGAAGGAAGGTGGTGGGCAAAGGTTTGTCAAACTGCCACGTGACCGAGGCAGCAGGAGCAGTTCCGTGTTTCAGAGTTTCATGGATGAAGCCAGGGCCAAAGAAGAGTGCATCACCCGGATGCAGTAGAACTTCCTCGAATATATTCCAGGAAGATTGTTCAGCTCGTTCATAGATCTGCCCATCCTGATAGATCTTCATCACATGGGGAGCATTCCTCTGACCAATGGGGGACAAGCGCCAACGCTTGGTTCCACACAGCTGCATACTCCAGGTGGACTCTGAATGTGAATCCACATGGGCTTTGGCACCATGAGTACCAGCTCCAGCTTGTAAAAACCAAAACTCCGGGGTGCTTTGCAGCATCCCCAAGTTCGCATCGCTCATGAAGCTTGGGGTGGCGGTATGCTCCTGACAGAGAGGGTAGTTTCTCTCCCGCTCAAATCAACAGGGGCCTGAGGTAGGGTGTGTAATGTTATCCATGCATTCACTGACAAATTAGAACTATGAGTTCAAATTTCCACTAAAGTCCAGAAATCAAAGTGAAGAGATTCTGTCGTCCTTTCTTTCCAAACCAGCCTTGGTTCAGCTGCATACTCTTCGAAACAACAGGCTCAAAGGTCCAAGTCATGCGAGTTCGATGTTGTGGTCGGACGAATACGAGTTCTTGGGACCACTAAGAACGCACAACTCTTCACGAATCGTCACCTGAATTCTAAAGAAGTCCTGTTCAAGAAGGTCGTGTACCCAACACAGTCCTACCTCGGAACCCCACCTGGTTCCATGAAAAAAGGGCGGCGCGCCCCTCGGAACGCACCCCTGGCAGCCTGGACCAACTCGAGAACCTGTCGCGACCAAGTTTGGCTGAAAAGTGGATCGTGAGCCACGTCTCCCGGATCATGAAGGACATCTTTGAGGCCAACATAGTATGGAGAGGCGCTGGGATTCTCTTGCTTAGGCTGGTCATCCAGGATGTCCCTCAAAGACTTCCACTCTTCTTGGCTTGCGTTTTTGTCTCCATATTCTCTTCTTCCTTTAACTCTGCGAAGAAGTTTGTTCTCCCTGAAAAACTCGCAGTCCCAGTCTTTCATCGGCAAAGACTTCACAAGGTTCCTCACAACAAAAGGGCGACCTTCTCTCACCAACTGATCAAAGATTCCTGCACTCAAGTTCGGTGTGAAGTTGAGAACTGGAAATGAAGAACCCATATTCTTCAGGTTCAAGCAGTTCAATTCTTCTCCTGAACGCGCAACGCCTGTTTCAATCTCTTCCAGAAATGCATGAGCACCTTCAAGCCAGTAGTCGGATGCTGACGGCTCCCATTCGATCGCAAGACCAAGGTCTACGAGAAGCAGGGCTGCGAGTGACTTCAACCTTGATCGGCTCCCCACCGCTTTGTTCGGCAATAAGTCCATATCGGCAGAACAGACTGGACTGCATGATCCTCCTCACATCGAAGAAGCTCAAGAAGTCTACACTAGCTTGACTGCCGTGGCTGCACTTTGTTTGCCCTGAAGTTTGAGTCCTTCTGGGGTAGTACTCACGTGAGGTCATATGATATAGATGGATATACTGATATACACGGTATCTGTAACATGCAGATGGCACGCAACAGATTATGGCTACACTCTCCCAACCCGGTGAAAGGAGGACTAGATGTGCCATGTCAGAAGCACATGGCGACCTCACCTCAATCAAATTCAGCGACGTCACCTCAGTCGAAGGTCAGAATCATTCGCCTTCTGACCCTTGAGCTGCACGTGCCAGGTGCCGCTGTGCTGAATCGCATCCTGCGACGTCCAACCGCCGCTCGGTGTCCGCGGCGCGTCGGTGTGGGCACCGAGGGACGGACCGTGTGTTCGGGGCGACCACGTAAGACACGGCCTCTGGCATTCCTGGACCAGAGAGGAGAAAAAGATCGACTGGACCCCCAGAAAACAGAATTATATAAGGATCATTCGTTATCTATGACAGCTCCTGAAAGCTCTAATGTAGACAAACCCTGCATTTGGAATGTAACACCTCTTCATATGAATCATTAAGATTCTTCCAAAGACTTACGTAAGACACAGTCAGTGTACACCGTTCTTGACTTGGCTCAGTGTACACACCTGCCAAAGAAGACCCAGGCAGCTGCTGAGTGCGTTGGAGGGCGGCATCTAGAGGCCTCAGACATGGGGTCTGGGCACCGGGCCCTGGTGGACCACGGTGCCAAATGGATCCATTTCAACGTAGGGTTTAGAGCTCCCGGCGCCATGACTCACAGCCATGATCTGCTGTGGGTCATGGCAGACTGGAGCGTGCAAGGCAGCAAGGACGAACTCGTTCTTTCTGCGTTCGGACTGGTTGGGCGAACATGGTGGGTCACGACCCATATGAGTCACCTGGTGACCACTTCGCAGCACCGCGGTAAGCGGCGGCACGTACTTGCCACGCGAGAAAAACCCACGCGCGATGGTGGTCTTGATTTTAAATTATAGATTTGGGTGTTCATCCACTATTTCCAGGTGATCGAACGGTTTGTTTTCCAATGCACTTCTTGCCCAACTCTCGTGGTGTGCGGCTCCTCGGACCTTTCAGCGGACAGCTGGTCGAAGGCTCGGCTTCTTCGAGCGGGCTCGACCATCCGAGGCTTGGACGAGGCTCTTTGGAGACCTCCAGGTCGGTGCCGGGAAAACCGAAAAGGACGAGGACGAAAACCCCGGTACTGGTGGACGGATCGACTCACTACCAGGTGGAGTAAAATGAGTCACATTAGAATAGAAAAATATATTCAGATACAGTACATATATATATATATAATATGTATATATATATATATAAGGTTGATCAATCAAGAGTCTGCAGCAGTCTGCATTACTCCTTTCAATCACAGGGGCACGGTCACTCGCTCAACGAGGAAGAAACTGCGACAATTGTGCGTCATCCTACTGAGCGGACCCGCTTTGAAGAACCAACCCTTGCGCTCCCAAATGGGCTCCTTTTTCTGCTTCCAGGGCGTTTGCTGGGTTCGACTGCTTGAACCATTGACATATTACAACCTGTCGGCGTGCATTGGGCATTGGACCATCTGCCTTTTCCGGCAGAGATGGCTATCAACTTGGACACAAAATCGCTGTCAACAATCAAAAACGATACACTAAGACTATTGCTACCATTATAGCCAAACGTTTGTGTTGTCCAGCCGATCTTCGTCGGCTGGTTTGCAGCGCCGTTCCGCGAATTTACAGAAGCCTCATCAGCCACACCTGGGCCGCACGGCCGAAGCCGGCGGCGCGGTTCGTGGGCCGTTCCGTCGTCGGGTTCGCTCGAAAACGCCAAGCGGCTGGAGCCAGACCGAAGGCACAAGGGATCCATGCCGCCCCCACAGCCGTTTGCCCGACGGTCGTGCTCCTCAGTTGGAGTTCCCTCTTATTTAGCACGAAAGTCTTGAAACTGGTTTTGTGAGTTGGACCACGAAAAAATAGATGATGGATCCCGCGGTTTTGTGGGAGAAAAATCCTTTTCTAAATGGTGGTTGGAAGCCTAGGGTCTATGCTCGATTTAGGTAGACTATTGTTGTACGCATATCCCGAATTGTAGAGAGAGAGAGAGAGGGAGAGGGAGAGGGAGAGAGAGAGAGAGAGAGAGAGAGAGAGAGAGAGAGAGGGAGAGAGAGAGAGAGAGAGAGGGAGAGAGAGAGAGAGCGAGAGAGAAGAGAGAGCAGAAGAGAGAGAGAGAGAGTGAGAGTTTGTGTGTGTGTGTGTTTTTCCCGCAAGAAAAGGGAAGCTGATTTCTTTCGAACAGCGCCCACATGGGCGGAAATCAACATAAAACAGCATCTCAGCCGCCCACGTGTTGGTCTCGTTCATATCATCAACGCTGGTGATACCAACGCCAGTGCAATTGTCTGTCTTGATGCAAGTGTTCGAGCTCCAAGCCTCCGGATCGTGAGAGTGAGCAGCTTGGTGAGCTGTCTGGTGTCCACCCGGAAAAAGAAAAAGGGACAAGCTTCCTGGACTCTGGGATCTTTCAGAAATCAGGATCAAATCAGGTACCCGGGTCACAACGTGTCTGTTCCTGTGTTTGATGCAGACCGAAACCCGAACAAAACATCTCTCGCAACACCATTGGGACACCATAGATGTCCCACCTCCAGTTCCTCAGCCCGTTTCATTTGTTCATGCATGTTCCGGCATTCAACTGGTTTCCCAAAGCATTCAACTGCCGGTCCCTGCCGGTCCCGGCGGGTTGTTCGTGCGATGTTACTTGGCGTTCGGAGGACCGGTGTCGCGGAACTCGTCGACGAAGAAAGGCGATCGGATGGGGCAACCAGTCAGCACCGTGGCAGGTCAACTGCAAACGCCACAATACCCATTGGGCCAGGGGGACCTATTCAAGAACTATAAGTACACCCATTCCCTGTCTGTCCGCCGCGCCCATCTCCGTTCACGCGGGATCAAACCATGTGGGAAAACGAGTGACTTCCGCCCAGAGGCCGAATCGAAAAGCCGTTGGCAGACCTTAAGGTCTCCCAACTGGCCAGGAACGCTTTTTCCGATTCCAAGCGGCACAATCACATCCTCCATCATTCATCGAGTCACCTGGGCTCGGTTCAAACCCGAGAGATGGATCTGCAACTCGAGGACTGGTCGAGCCGCTCCCCCCCGTTCGAAGTCCAACCGACCGATTTTTGGGGACCACTGAAGTAAAGAAATTCCTAGACTCGGATCACCTAGGGCTTAAAGACCATGTTTAAAAGATGGTCAGACTGGACTTCCAGGGCCCCGGTCTTCAAAGGAAGGTGAATCGAAAGGTCCCGTGGCGCCGCGAAGGGCACGATGCGTGATCGTGCCCAGCTCTTCGGCCAGATCGGCCCATCCTGGAATCCCGAACCACCGAAGGTTTTACCATGGTTTTACTAACTTTCACACGACCGAAACCAGGTCCACCGAAACTCTTTGTTCATGGTCGAACGGCGCCGAAAGGAAGAAAAAAAAAGGGCCGTGTCTGGTGAAAAAGGGGCACGCTTTTTGCTGCGACCGGTCCACAAGTGGCAGCATCATAGTTTCCACAGATCGCTGCCTGAGTGCTGCTGAGGATGGCCATGCCAGCACAGATGCTTGTAAGCCTGTCGTCCAGATGACCGAACAAGGAGCCGAGCATGTCATCGCGAGCAATTTTAGAAGATCCCGGATCCGGCATGTAAGCTAGTCGCCGTGGTTGCCTTCTCTCGGCCAAAAAGGCGTGGTTTCCTGGGAGTGTCCAAGAAAAAATAGGGACCTCTCAAACTCTCAAATCCGATTCTTTCTGCCTTTTTCTGAGGGAGGATCCAGGATCACAGACACACCCGCTGCTCTCACTCCCTCGCCCCTCACCTCCACATCGTTGGAAAGACGCGTCGATCTCCGGCTTGGTCCAGGGGCAAAGGCTGAACCAAAAACAGGGCCGGCGGCGAAGTCGGCTGTAGCACCTTTTCGTTCTGGAAAGAAACTGACCATGCACCATGCACCATTCTCCGCGAAAAAGGGTCTGACAGTCAAGTGATACACAAACGACCCAGCAAGACTGCACAAAAGATGACCCCAAAAACGAACACTGACTCTTCTTCTTCTCGCCTCTGCAAGAAGTGAGGAACCTCGAAAAAAACGATGGTGTTCGCCGAGAACACATCAAACGAAGCTGGGAGCCAGGAAAGTCAGCAGAAGAAGAAGAAGAAGAAGAAGAAGATAGAAGGAAGAAGATAGAAGATAGAAGGATCCAAGAAAAATAGGCCTTGACTTGGATTTGGATGCTTCATGAGGTTTTTGGATGAAACCGAAGCAGGAACCGTACCAAGCAGGAACCGTACCGCAGGACGGTGCGCTGAATGCCCCGCTGGACCGGACCCCACGGGACCCGGAACTCACGTCCGGTGACGTGGAGGAATCCACGGTCCCATGGTGAGGAAGAGGAGGAACGGTGTTTTTTTTTTTTTCCGAAGACCAAACAGGAACGGTTCCATGTAACCACTTCCGAAGTATATAGATGTGTTGGAGTGTGTGTTGGACAAGTTGGGGAAGGACACAGAGCCACAGCCGGCTGGGTTTCGATGTGAACATCATGTCAGGGTCAATAACGGAAATGCTGCCGAGAGACTCCTTTGGGTAAGGCTTGGGAGAGAAACTCGCTTAGCGCACGTCGACTGCCTGAGCTGATCCAATGATGGACTTATCTTCGACATGTTGGAGTCGAGTCCAATCGGAGGGGACGTGTCACAAGACTTGTGGATGATGATGTCGATGGAATGATGGAGAAACCCTCATGTTCATCAGTCACTAACCGGGAAGAACAGTGCACTCTGGCGATGCATGGCTTGTTAATGTTGGAATGTCTTCGCCACAAAGGCTCGGAATGTCTTCTCACGGTCCCTTCACTTCAAAAAACTCGAGAAGCACAGGGGGAGGGCTGACACCGAACCGGCGCGGCCTGCCGATTAACTTCACGAGAAAAGAGCCACAAATCTGGGGGATGGAATCTGACACCAGAGCCCCGTGTGCCAGGGAACTTTGTTGGGCCAAGGTGCGCTGCAAAACGCAGGAAGCATACCATGAACCTGCGGAAGACTGGAAGATGCCCCACGGTGGCATACGTGCTTGAAAGCTCTTAGCAAGTAAAAATACTTTGCCGTTTACCTTGCCAATGCAAGTTGCGGGGACTTCATGACCAGGAGATGGCATTGTCCAAGTTTGGTGCATCGTCTCCGACACAGGGGTCCGGTCAAATGCAAACTCCAAAACTCCGACGGTCAAACCACTCCACATCTACCTCACCTCACCATCTAGGGCAGCTGGGGAGGGTAATTCACCGAGTTTGGTGACCCCCAGTGGTCGAACGTTGGCATCGCGGTTTCAGCTCAGTGAGATCGGGTGCGGTGGTGATCGGTGGCACCTCCAGGTGCCCTGGGAGCGCCCAGGAGCTGCTCGAGGGGATCCTCGTGCGGCGGCAAGGTGCCACGGCTCTCCAGACCTCCGGGCCGATCGTGGACGATGGCGGAGCTGCATGGCGATAGCCGGGTGGGTGACGGGGCGATAGCCGGGTGGGTGGGTGTGTACTTCGGAGGTGCTCAAGGAGCTCTTGGCTTTATATGAAGGATTTTTGAATGAATGCTTTTGGGACTCGCCTGTCGGATGATTCTAAGGTCCACAGGCTGTTGCAGGATGAGTCAGGTTGGCCAGTTTTAAGGGACAACCGTGCTACAACGGTTCATCCATACCTTCCACCACACCATCGCGCTCCAGGTGCCGGACTGAAAGCTCGACCTCGGTCGCGAAGGCCGCGTGACGCGACTGATGTTCCACCGCAGCTCGACCGCTTGATCGATACACAGCGCCTTCAGGCGATCCAGAGAACTGGTCGAAAAAGCACCCTAGGAGTCGGGGGGGGAAAAAACATAATCCTTTTGGAACAGCTTCACTCTTTGTATGTGTAAGATTGTGTGTATATAGAAATACACTCCAGTGATCCCCAGTGACAGTAGTTATTGACTGAAATTCGGCTATTTCTCTGCCGCATCTGCAGCTCCAACCTCACTGAGGAAAACCGCTCCAAGCTCAGCTTCTCGCGGAGAACTGCTGGATGTGCCTCAGGAATCTGCAGATTCAGCTGACCATCAAGTTGCAGTGACTGCACATGACTCGATGGCTCGAAGGCAAACATCATCCATTTTTCTCTGCCCCTTCCTCCTCGCCGAGGATAGCTTGTCGACAAAACTGAGGTCAAACTCACTGGCATCCGCAGCATGCAGTTGAGAGAGCTTGCCAACCTGGGTGAAACCCATGAGAGCTCCCCCTGGACTCGACCCCATTCCGGCACCGATTCCGGCGAAGGGTCGGAGGAGTCGAAGCAGTCGGCGGCATTCGACCGCGCCGACCGCGCAGGGCGTGCATTCGATCGTAAGGGATCTGAGACTCGGTGAACAAGTCGCCAATCAATCAGTGGAAGTGGCAACTTGGCCCCGAAAGGAAGACGACTTGGGGTTTAGACGTTTGGCCAAGTAGACTGGTTGCGTCAGGCCCTGAAAAAAAGACAGGCCGTTGTCCACTCCCATGACTGTTCGGAGCGCTAGGAGATGGTAGGAGTAGCACTAGCAGTCCACGAAAAACCCTCCCCCAGAGGCTTGGTGGTCCGACGCCATGCGAGCACGGTCAGGCCAATTCCTCTGGCCAGGCCTGTGCTTCACCATGGTTCAAAAGGGAAGAAAAGCGGAAACTCAGCTAGATTGGGTATCTCCCAGTAAGAGTGGATGATGGTTAGACTGCTAGATACGTTCTACGTTCATCTTCGATCCATCTTTTCGGACCCGATTCGCCCGAAACTCCGAGCGCCAAGACACTGTTTGGTGCTGGAGCTCCATTGCCACAGATGGTCTGTCCCACACACATGCAGCTGGCCGGACCCGATCCGCTGCAAGGAGGCTGAGTGGCGGAAGGTTGGCTGGCGGCTGGGGTACGATGCTGGACCTAGAAACTGGGGCCTTTTTCCCGAATGCGTAGCGAAGGGTTTTCGGTTAACTCTTGGGGGTCTGGGGGTGGAGCCTTGTTCGCGACCCGTTGTTTCCATGTTCGCAACCGTCCGCAACCGTCCGCAACCGTTCGCAACCGTCCGCGGTAGAGCGCTAAGGCGCTGCCATTGGGGGAAGCTTTTGCAAGTGACCAGGCATGGATGTGTCACGTGTCAGTTTGCGACGCTATTCCATTGTGATTTGCATGAAAATGACATGTCGCGCAAGAAACGTGATGCATTTCGCTGCACAGGCGCAGCATTTTGTGAGATCCTCAGTTTGCTACGCAGTTCCATTGGGATTAGCGTTTGGAGAGTCGTGTTTTTGGGGTGTTGGATGTGGCCGTGCCATTGGGATTTGCGTTTCAGGGTGTGGCATCGAAGCTCTGTTTTCGTGACCAGTCTCAGCTGAAATGGCGATTTTGGTGGATGGGAGTGTGCTCAGAATGGGTCGAAATCATTCCAAACGTGTGGTGTGGTGCAAATTTTGTTGAAGCTGACATGAGATGATATTGCCACTTTTCGTGGCAGGCGCAGTACTTTTTGTGGGTTTTGAGGCGTGGAAGTGCGATTCTCGTGGCAGGCGCAGGGAATGGTGAGGTTGCGAGGTGTGACGGAGGTGACATTTCGCGGCAGGCGCAGTACTTTGTGCGCGTTAGACGTGTGGATGCGGAAAGATTCGTGGCAGGCGCAGGGAATCGTGAGGTTGTGAGTTGTGGTAGAGGTGAATGTCGCTGTCACATTGGGATTGGCGTGTGAGCGGATGTTGTTTGGAGGGGCTGGAATCGCGAAACTGCTTGGCAGGGCTGCGTGATGTGTGTGCTCCGATGGGTGTTTCCGCTGGACTTTTGGAGGAAGTCTCGTGCGAAACGTTCGTTTTGCAGACTTTGACATGTGAATTTTTGAGGAAGTCTCGTACGAAACGCTCGTTTTGGGGACTTGACATGTGACTTTTGGAGGAAGTCTCGTACGAAACGCTCGTTTTTGAGACTTGACGTGTGACTTTTGGGGGAAGTCTCGTACGAAACGCTCGTTTTTGAGACTTGACGCGTGACTTTTGGAGGAAGTCTCGTACGAAACGCTCGTCTTGCAGCCTCGCAGCGTGACTTTTGGAGGAAGTCTCGTACGAAGAGTTTGCCCTACAGGAATGTCCCACAAGAGTGTCCTACAAGAGTGTCCCACAAGAGTGTCCTACAAGAGTATCCCACAAGAGTTTCCTACAAGAGTGTCCCACAAGAGTCTCCTACAAGAGTGTCCCACAAGAGTGTCCCACAAGAGTGTCCCACCACAAGAGTGTCCCACGAGAGTGTCCCACAAGAGTGTCCTGCAAGACTGTCCCACAAGAGTGTCCCACAAGAGTGCCCCAAATGAGTGTCCCACAGGAGTGTCCCACAAGAGTGTCCCGCAACAGTGTCCCGCAAGAGTGTCTCACAAGAGTGTCCCTTAAGAGTGTCCCACAAGAGTGTCCCGCAACAGTGTCCCACAAGAGTGTCCTACAGGAGTATCCCACAAGAGTGTCCTACAAGAGTGTCCCACAAGAGTTTCCTACTAGAGTGTCCCACAAGAGTGTCCCACAAGAGTGTCCCACAAGAGTGTCCCACAGGAGTGTCCCGTAAGAGTGTCCCACAAGAGTTTCCTACAAGAGTGACCCACAAGAGTGTCCCACAAGAGTGTCCTACAAGAGTCTCATTTGGACATATGTAGCTTTTTGAAGGTGTTTGCATTCGGGTTCGTGGGCTCCATCTTGTTTTATACGACTGGATCTTCCAATTTAAGAAAAAATGGTGCCTTCTGGCTGGTTTTTATTGATGAAAAGGCAGACATGGTTGGAAGATCCCGGTGTACCCTCCCTCCAACCACGCACGACCGAAAAAAGACTGACTTCCAAATCTCAACGTCAGGAGCAAATTTCAGCTTTGAACGCTTTCTTGCTGTCCAGGCGCAGCCTTGGCCTTCTCTTCCTCAGAAAGGTTGGTGCACCACGCAGGAACTACCTTGGTATCCACCGTCAGCTCCACCTTTGTCTCAAGAGCAGAGACATCACAGCAGCCCAAATAGGTGCCATCGGCTGCCGGGCAGCAAACGCCTTCGAGCTTTAGGTCCTCGTTGAAGGAACTTCTGACGTCTGCGACACAGGAGAAACCCGGAACTCAGAACAAGGAATGGGTGTGTATTTTAATAGGGAGACCCAACCGATGAGTTTTGGGTCTATTTTCCAGGAGGTTGTTGCCTAGGAGGTCCCCCTGTTTCACACCCAAATCAAATGCAGACATCCACCTAAAGCGGATATGGGAGTGTCCTGGCAGCCTTTGTGCGCGGAACAAGAAGCGGTGGCGCCGCCGCCACCGCCACCTGCTGCCGTGGCGGTGGCGGCTGGCGCGACCGCTGGAGCTGCCACTGGGGCGGCGACCGCAGGCGCTGGCACAACTGCAGCTGCAGGGGCAGGGGCTGGAACGCAGCCACAGCAAGAGTATGAGTAGGACTGCCAAGTCCCAGCTGGAAAAGGTCCCCAACTGCCACACACAGTTGGACCCATACAAATGCAACTTCCTGCTCCACCATTGCATGCCGCGATCGAGGCTCTGCTGTACTCCTCAGTGAAATATTCATAAAATTGCCAAACTTGTATTAGCCATATGTGCTTTTCATCTGTGCTTAGTCATCGAGCGAAGAGAGAGACTGAGCTCAGCTACGGGGACGGTGTAGCACCAGTAGGGTGCATAGAACTCCTCAGTCTTCCGGTCCAGCTTTCCAACCTGAAGATCCAAGAGCTTAAAGTTGGATGACTGCAGGGGGAACCAAGGAGATGGGCAAAGGTTCATGCAGCAGGAATAGATCAATAATGACCAGGACTCCCAAAACATGGTTAATCGACACACCTTACCTTGAATTGTAAGGGGCTATTCATGGACACCCTTTCCGTGGTGCTGGGACATAATAGATCTATCTATCTATCTATCTATCTATATATATATATGTATATATATTTTATGAAAATGGATGCGTGTTGGGAGAACACTCAAGTTCTTCCGTCCAAAGGTTGCTTCCTGCTCTGGTTTCAACACGCGGTCGACGGTGGAATCCTGGCTGCGATTCAATGCGGGCCGAGTTACAAACATCGAAGTCTGAAGCAGCTCCATCTTCACCTCCTCACAGGAACAATCCCGTCACTCCGGTCCCGCTGCGCCGGAAACGGTGCCGGTCGGGCTGCGGAGAGCACCCAGCCACACAGGGCACTGAGCTGGGTGGATCCGAATGTGAATAGGCATTGTGCTCTTTAGGCGATGGGCTCCAACCTACTTGCGATGGCCTCCAACCTAAGAGCTATGGCCTCCACCCAGTGCCAAAGAAAGGAATCGGAGTAAAGTGAAGGACCCAAGTGATCCTGGTGGATCAGTTGCAGTGGACCTCCAGGTCTGAGCTCAGGTCCTGTAAAACGTCGGACTAGTAGGGAGTGCTTGGACTCTATGCCTCTCCTTCTTCGGCTGCAAAAAGAAGGCCCCAAAATCCCAGCCGTTCCTTCTTCCGTCACCAGATCTGCCCTGGAAAGCAGTAAAGCCCTCGGAAGTCAGAATTGCTTGCATCCAAGGCTCTGCTAGCTCTTGCTGCTCCAGGTTCTCCACTGCAGCATTCGTGCACGAATTGTCTTCGCACGTCTCACCTGAAGAGGACACCAGCTGAATCTGGGAGTGGCGCACCACATCTGATCATCTGAGGAGCAGACTGCTCCAAGCCACCAAAATGTATGAAAAGGCAATCGCCACCCTCGCAAGTGAAGTCATGTCAGAACCTCAGTGACAGTTTGACTTCCCCGCAAACCTGGCCCAAACCTCGGAAAAGAAAAAGAAACTAAGCCCAGCTCCTAAGATGCCACCTCACAGTGTTCGTTCAGGGTTTTTCGAGCACTGCAAATGGCTGAGCGAGCAGGTGGCAGTGCTTTGTCCATGCCAGCGCTCTGATCCCAACAAGAACCGGTTTCATCGAACCAAAAGACGCAGAGAAACGAATCAAAAAGACTCCTGTCATCCTCTGGGGGGAAAAAACCTCTCCCTTCGTTTCTTCGGCTCCCACCCCATAGAGCCGCCGCAGCGTCGCAAGTCCAATCCGCCTAAAGCGGCACCCCCGAAAGCGCGGGGGCGCAAGGGCTGATGTGCGACCTAGATCGTCGACCTAGAAGTGGACCTAGAAGTGGACTCCGAGGCTGCAAGCTGAGATGTGGCCTGTAGCTGGGGGAAATCCTTCCTAGGCGTTGCACCTTCGAACCTGAGAGATGTATGGACGCGAACGCGCGTCACCGATCGCCACAACCGATTTTGGAGTCAAATAGGACTCTCAAGGTAGGTCTTTAGGATCTTTAGGGCCAGGAATGGCCGTCCGAGTTCTGTGTTCCTTGTCCCACCTTCACGCCGAGTTCTGTGTGACTCGTGTGACACTGTGTTCTCTTTCTTTCTACACAGGGTCTGATGCCCACGCGTTCGACACAAGCATGTAGCGTTTAGTTGAACCCCGTTGAAGGTCTGTGCCTCCCATCGCCCGATCTCTTCTTCGACCTCGGAGGGCGAAGAAGAGCGGAACGGGAACAGAACAGCATCTTTGTATTCTGGAATATCTTCTAAATCTATTAGAAGATGGCCTCCAACCTAATAGAGATGGCCTCCAACCTAGGTGACCCCGTGCATCTTGAACACCAATCCTATGGGAGATCTCTAGACCCTCGAGTTGGGTCGACCATCCTGAATCTGCAAACAAGAGCTGCAAGTGTATAGAGGTGCTGCCAAAGTGTCTACACACATAGTCTAGTTAGTAGTTGCACATTTAAAAATGAAATAACAAGTAGAGAAGCCTACAGTACAAACCACTCTGAGGTAGTCGCTGCACATGTAGAATCTGATGCCGAGCAAAGGCATCTTGAAAAGCCTGGTTCATCAAAGTGTGACAAACCCAAAGTGAACCCCTTTTCATCCTTTTCTCCAAAGTCGCCGCTGCCTCCAAGGTCACATTTGAGGCCGACAAACACGGTACGATATTCTTGGGACCTTTGCCCATGCCCTTTGAGAAGACACTAGTCTGCCTTAGTGTTGTGAATCAAGTGACAGCCCACCCATGACAGCCCACGTCGTGTGCCATGACTTGACTGCGACCTTAGCCGTAGCCTACCAGCAATTCAAGCCATGTTGGAGCATCTTGAGCCAGCCAGGAATACAGGCCGTGACCACCATGACCAGGCATCAAAGAACAATTTCTAGAATGTGCAGGAAGCTCATATCAGCAAATGAGGCGTCTTTCTTGAAAGGTGCTCGCAGCTCTGCACAGAATCCAAATAATCAAGGCAAGTGTTGGCAAGCAGCCATCAGCTCAAAATGGCTTGGTGTGGCCTAGTTCCTCCGATTCCAACACATGATACAAGCTCATGCATCCTGCTGCAAGGATTTCACAGTCTGCTTCTCATGTTTCAAAAGCATGAAGGATCAAGGAGCTGGCATTGAGCAGTGGCTCTTCCCAAAGACTGGAAGCTTCGCTCAGCCACACGCATACTTGGTGAAGGCTAAGCTGGAAGCGCTCGGGCCGTGCTCAGACAATTAGGAGAAGGGGTTGCGGAACTTCTCCCCAGCATATGTTGCCTAGCGAGATCAGAGGCCGGACGCAAACAGTCCAAACGACCAGGCTATCAAAGCCATGCCCGAACTTCTTTGGAGAACCCAGACTTCTGACCTCTGTTTTTGCTCGAAAAAAAGGAAGGTCGCCCCAAAAAGATCTGTTCCTGCTGCTCTTGGACCATGTTTTTCAGCCAGATGAAGCCCTGCCTTGGTGCCGAGCTCTTCCTCAATCCGAAGGAGCCTCAATCCGCCAAACCGATCAGAAACATGAAATGGAATCCTATGGGCCTTCCTTGGAAATCCAAGGTCGCAGCTGATTGTACTTCGCCAAACGCTCGCTACGGCAGGGTGCGCCAGTCTTGATCTGACCTTGAGGTTCCCGGAGTCCGAGTCCAAGATTCATGCACATTCATGAGTTACAGAGTTGGAGGCCATCGCTCTTAGGTTGGAGGCCATCGCTCTTGGGTTGGAGGCCATTGCCATTTAGTAACTCAGAGGTTTACAGAGTTGAAGATTCATGTACATTCCCTGGAACAATCATGGTTACGTGGATGGCGGCCCGAGACATGACCATGTGTCTTCCTCAGATCCACCAAACATCAGGTGGCGTTGATGAGTCAAACCCACCAGGCGACCGAGACCGCTCGACCGAGCCGAGCTACGCGCGGAACCGCGCGTGAACCGCGCGGGTGTTCACCAAATGCAACAGGAATCAAGGACAGAAAAGGCTGTTTCAGCCTCCCATGAAAGAGCCTCCCATCCAGTCACCCGCCAATCCGGGTCATCTCAGTTCACCAAGCTCAGTGTTTGATGAATCAAATTGCCATATTGGTCATATTGGAAGAACCGTTCGATTCTGGTTGTTGGGGTTTCCAGCTTATAGTTTAGACTCGTACCACCATCACCCGCCTGTGCGAAGGCCTACCACAAGATCGGCAATGAAAGAGTCCTCCAGTGCCATGAGAGCTAAAAGTGGATGGCGAACCAACACTGGCTGGGATGGATTTTCGATTGCTTCTTTTCGATTGCTTTGCTGATTGGAAGCGCTCTCTGACGTTCTACGCCTTTCGACGCCAAGCTGATTTTTCAGAAGGACCACGTGGGAGTGGCATTGAGTCCCATCCAGTGAGTGGATCAGTTCAGGCACCCCTACCCTCCTAGAGTGGTTTCTCTAACACATGTTAACACCTCTTCATACAACTCCTGCTCCATGTCAATTCTCAACCCTTTTCAACATACCTTTCAGTCCCAAAACGTGAACACCAGAAGACCCACCCGGTCGACCCTACAGCCCCTTCGACCCAAACAAGCGCAAAACAGGCGGACACCGCCCGTAACAAGCGGAGCGCGTCCTCCGTCTCTCCCGAGCGATGGGAGACCATGACTCCCCAGCCATTCTGCATCGACCTCGAGGACAAGCCAAGTAGCTTGGAGGCCATGGCTATGTAGGTTCCTTTTGCTAGGTTGGAGGCCGCTCTTAGCTTGGAGGCCAAAGTAAAAGTGTCTGGCATGAAGGCCATCAGCACCCATCACAGAGAGTCTTCGCTTCCATCGACGATGGCTGGCGCGTAACGCAAACCGGGGTGCCCGGGCATGTTGGCCGCATCAATGGCCTCTGTGATGGATCCAATTTGATTCACCTGCGCAGCACAGAGCTAGAGGCAAAAGCAGCACAGAAACAGCGCTCACACAGAGCTGGAGGTCCAGTCCAACTCAGCCTTCAGGAGCAAAGCATTGCATGCCTCAGAAGTGTGATTAAGCATCCCATCATCCCATCAACATGGGTGACAAACAGATGGCTGGTCCGATGCTCTCGCTGAGGCCAAATCTCCAACGTCCAAAGCTTTTTCAATACGCTTTGTGTTGGTGACCAGCCTTGGTTCCAGGAAGCACAGCAGCGGCAAGCAACAAGGAGAATTGATCCTTTGAGAATACACATGTGTATGATATATATTTATATATATAACTATTCATCTTCAATGCACGGACCTTTTTCAACCATCCTCTTTGA